ATTCTTACTGTCTGATTCCACACAGCGTTTAATCTTACTGTCTGATTCCACACAGCGTTCATTCTTACTGTCTGATTCCACACAGCGTTCATTCTTACTGTCTGATTCCACAGCGTTCATTCTGTCTGATTCCACACAGCGTTCATTCTTACTGTCTGATTCCACACAGCGTTCATTCTTACTGTCTGATTCCACACAGCGTTCATTCTTACTGTCTGATTCCACACAGCGTTCATTCTGTCTGATTCCTCACAGCGGTCATTCTTACTGTCTGATTCCACACAGCGTTCATTATTACTGTCTGATTCCACACAGCGTTCATTATTACTGTCTGATTCCACACAGCGTTCATTCTTACTGTCTGATTCCACACAGCGTTCATTCTTACTGTCTGATTCCACACAGCGTTCATTCTTACTGTCTGATTCCACACAGCGTTCATTATTACTGTCTGATTCCACACAGCGTTCATTCTTACTGTCTGATTCCACACAGCGTTCATTCTTACTGTCTGATTCCACACAGCGTTCATTCTTACTGTCTGATTCCTCACAGCGTTCATTCTTACTATCTGATTCCACACAGCGTTCATTCTTACTGTCTGATTCCACACAGCGTTCATTCTTACTGTCTGATTCCACAGCGTTCATTCTTACTGTCTGATTCCACACAGCGTTCATTCTTACTGTCTGATTCCACACAGCGTTCATTCTTACTGTCTGATTCCACACGGCGTTCATTCTGTCTGATTCCACACGGCGTTCATTCTTACTGTCTGATTCCACACAGCGTTCATTCTTACTGTCTGATTCCACACAGCGTTCATTCTGACTGTCTGATTCCACACAGCGTTCATTCTTACTGTCTGATTCCACACAGTGGTCATTCTGTCTGATTCCACACAGCGTTCATTCTTACTGTCTGATTCCACACAGCGTCCATTCTTACTGTCTGATTCCACACAGCGTTCATTCTTACTGTCTGATTCCACACAGCGTTCATTCTTACTGTCTGATTCCACACAACGTTCATTCTTACTGTCTGATTCCACAGCGTTCATTCTTACTGTCTGATTCCACACAGCGTTCATTCTTACTGTCTGATTCCACACAGCGTTCATTCTTACTGTCTGATTCCACACGGCGTTCATTCTGTCTGATTCCACACAGCGTTCATTCTTACTGTCTGATTCCACACAGCGTTCATTCTTACTATCTGATTCCACACAGCGTTCATTCTGACTGTCTGATTCCACACAGCGTTCATTCTTACTGTCTGATTCCACACAGTGGTCATTCTGTCTGATTCCACACAGCGTTCATTCTTACTGTCTGATTCCACACAGCGGTCATTCTTACTGTCTGATTCCACACAGCGTTCATTCTTACTGTCTGATTCCACAGCGGTCATTCTTACTGTCTGATTCCACACAGCGTTCATTCTTACTGTCTGATTCCACACAGCGTCCATTCTTACTGTCTGATTCCACACAGCGTTCATTCTGTCTGATTCCACACAGCGTTCATTCTTACTGTCTGATTCCACACAGCGGTCATTCTTACTGTCTGATTCCACACAGCGTTCATTCTTACTGTCTGATTCCACACAGCGTTCATTCTTACTGTCTGATTCCACAGCGTTCATTCTTACTGTCTGATTCCACACAGCGTTCATTCTTACTGTCTGATTCCACACAGCGTTCATTCTTACTGTCTGATTCCACAGCGTTCATTCTTACTGTCTGATTCCACACAGCGTTCATTCTTACTGTCTGATTCCACACAGCGGTCATTCTTACTGTCTGATTCCACACAGCGTTCATTCTTACTGTCTGATTCCACACAGCGGTCATTCTGTCTGATTCCACACAGCGTTCATTCTGTCTGATTCCACACAGCGTTCATTCTTACTGTCTGATTCCACACAGCGTTCATTCTTACTGTCTGATTCCACACAGCGTTCATTCTTACTGTCTGATTCCACACAGCGTTCATTCTTACTGTCTGATTCCACACAGCGTTCATTCTGACTGTCTGATTCCACACAGCGTTCATTCTTACTGTCTGATTCCACACAGCGTTCATTCTTACTGTCTGATTCCACACAGCGTTCATTCTGTCTGATTCCACACAGCGTTCATTCTTACTGTCTGATTCCACACAGCGTTCATTCTTACTGTCTGATTCCACACAGCGTTCATTCTTACTGTCTGATTCCACACAGCGTTCATTCTGACTGTCTGATTCCACACAGCGTTCATTCTGACTGTCTGATTCCACACAGCGTTCATTCTGTCTGATTCCACACAGTGTTCATTCTTACTGTCTGATTCCACACAGCGGTCATTCTTACTGTCTGATTCCACACAGCGGTCATTCTTACTGTCTGATTCCACACAGCGTTCATTCTGTCTGATTCCACACAGCGTTCATTCTCACTGTCTGATTCCACACAGCGTTCATTCTTACTGTCTGATTCCACACAGCGGTCATTCTTACTGTCTGATTCCACACAGCGGTCATTCTTACTGTCTGATTCCACACAGCGTTTAATCTTACTGTCTGATTCCACACAGCGTTCATTCTTACTGTCTGATTCCACACAGCGTTCATTCTTACTGTCTGATTCCACAGCGTTCATTCTGTCTGATTCCACACAGCGTTCATTCTTACTGTCTGATTCCACACAGCGTTCATTCTTACTGTCTGATTCCACACAGCGTTCATTCTTACTGTCTGATTCCACACAGCGTTCATTCTGTCTGATTCCTCACAGCGGTCATTCTTACTGTCTGATTCCACACAGCGTTCATTATTACTGTCTGATTCCACACAGCGTTCATTATTACTGTCTGATTCCACACAGCGTTCATTCTTACTGTCTGATTCCACACAGCGTTCATTCTTACTGTCTGATTCCACACAGCGTTCATTCTTACTGTCTGATTCCACACAGCGTTCATTATTACTGTCTGATTCCACACAGCGTTCATTCTTACTGTCTGATTCCACACAGCGTTCATTCTTACTGTCTGATTCCACACAGCGTTCATTCTTACTGTCTGATTCCTCACAGCGTTCATTCTTACTATCTGATTCCACACAGCGTTCATTCTTACTGTCTGATTCCACACAGCGTTCATTCTTACTGTCTGATTCCACAGCGTTCATTCTTACTGTCTGATTCCACACAGCGTTCATTCTTACTGTCTGATTCCACACAGCGTTCATTCTTACTGTCTGATTCCACACGGCGTTCATTCTGTCTGATTCCACACGGCGTTCATTCTTACTGTCTGATTCCACACAGCGTTCATTCTTACTGTCTGATTCCACACAGCGTTCATTCTGACTGTCTGATTCCACACAGCGTTCATTCTTACTGTCTGATTCCACACAGTGGTCATTCTGTCTGATTCCACACAGCGTTCATTCTTACTGTCTGATTCCACACAGCGTCCATTCTTACTGTCTGATTCCACACAGCGTTCATTCTTACTGTCTGATTCCACACAGCGTTCATTCTTACTGTCTGATTCCACACAACGTTCATTCTTACTGTCTGATTCCACAGCGTTCATTCTTACTGTCTGATTCCACACAGCGTTCATTCTTACTGTCTGATTCCACACAGCGTTCATTCTTACTGTCTGATTCCACACGGCGTTCATTCTGTCTGATTCCACACAGCGTTCATTCTTACTGTCTGATTCCACACAGCGTTCATTCTTACTATCTGATTCCACACAGCGTTCATTCTGACTGTCTGATTCCACACAGCGTTCATTCTTACTGTCTGATTCCACACAGTGGTCATTCTGTCTGATTCCACACAGCGTTCATTCTTACTGTCTGATTCCACACAGCGGTCATTCTTACTGTCTGATTCCACACAGCGTTCATTCTTACTGTCTGATTCCACAGCGGTCATTCTTACTGTCTGATTCCACACAGCGTTCATTCTTACTGTCTGATTCCACACAGCGTCCATTCTTACTGTCTGATTCCACACAGCGTTCATTCTGTCTGATTCCACACAGCGTTCATTCTTACTGTCTGATTCCACACAGCGGTCATTCTTACTGTCTGATTCCACACAGCGTTCATTCTTACTGTCTGATTCCACACAGCGTTCATTCTTACTGTCTGATTCCACAGCGTTCATTCTTACTGTCTGATTCCACACAGCGTTCATTCTTACTGTCTGATTCCACACAGCGTTCATTCTTACTGTCTGATTCCACAGCGTTCATTCTTACTGTCTGATTCCACACAGCGTTCATTCTTACTGTCTGATTCCACACAGCGGTCATTCTTACTGTCTGATTCCACACAGCGTTCATTCTTACTGTCTGATTCCACACAGCGGTCATTCTGTCTGATTCCACACAGCGTTCATTCTGTCTGATTCCACACAGCGTTCATTCTTACTGTCTGATTCCACACAGCGTTCATTCTTACTGTCTGATTCCACACAGCGTTCATTCTTACTGTCTGATTCCACACAGCGTTCATTCTTACTGTCTGATTCCACACAGCGTTCATTCTGACTGTCTGATTCCACACAGCGTTCATTCTTACTGTCTGATTCCACACAGCGTTCATTCTTACTGTCTGATTCCACACAGCGTTCATTCTGTCTGATTCCACACAGCGTTCATTCTTACTGTCTGATTCCACACAGCGTTCATTCTTACTGTCTGATTCCACACAGCGGTCATTCTTACTGTCTGATTCCACACAGCGTTCATTCTTACTGTCTGATTCCACACAGCGGTCATTCTTACTGTCTGATTCCACACAGCGGTCATTCTTACTGTCTGATTCCACACAGCGGTCATTCTTACTGTCTGATTCCACACAGCGTTCATTCTGTCTGATTCCACACAGCGTCCATTCTTACTGTCTGATTTCCTCTCCCAATCTGCTCATCTGTCTCTCTGCCTTCAATCTGTTGATTCCATACTGTTTGTGTGTGTCACATATGTGTGTCTACTGTGTTGTTGGATTGGACGCGCTACGGTAAGCGTACTGACTCACTTCCGGTTTCCTTCCTGCTCTGTGTACACTGTTTGGTGCTGTAGCTCTGTCAGTGAACGCTAAATATAAATTAGTTTTACTCGTTACAGCGGTTATTTACCCGCTTAACATTTAAACGTAGACTAGTTCTACTTAAACACTTGGAGTTTCTCCCTCTTTTAGGGACTTTTCACTACTTTCAAAGTTTTTCATACACTCTAGTTTCATTAGCATTAGCAGTTAGCTATGGCTTCTCCCTCTCCCTCTCCTCTGTCCTGCTCAGTGTGTCAGATGTTCAGTTATTCCTCTGCCTCCTTTAAAGATAATGGTACCTGTATTAAATGTAGTTTATTTACTGCGCTGGAGGCGAGGCTTAGTGAGTTAGAGGAACGGCACCGCACCACTGAGATATCTTTAGCCGCTATAGTTAGCCAGCCCCCCGGTAGCCGGTGCGGTCCGACCGAAGGTAGCTTCTGTTAGCTCTGTAGATCCCCCGGTAGTTCCCGAGCAGCCGGGAAGACAGGGAGGCTGGGTGACTGAGCGAAGGAAGACTAGAACGGCGAAGCCCACAGGTCACCACCAACCGCTTCACGTTTCTAATACATTTTCCCCTCTCAGCGATACACCCGCTGAGGAACCAACTCTGGTTATTGGCAGCTCCATAGTCAGAAACGTGAAGTTAGCGAAGCCAGCGGCCATAGTTAAATGCATCCCTGGGGCCAGAGCGGGAGACATTGAATCCTATTTAAAACTGCTGGCTAAAGGTAAACGTAAATACAGTAAGATTGTTATCCACGTCGGCGGTAACGACACCCGTTTACGCCAATCGGAGGTCACTAAGATTAATGTGGAGTCGGTGTGTAACTATGCTAAAACAATGTCGGACACCGTAGTTTTCTCTGGACCCCTGCCCAATGTGACCAGTGATGACATGTATAGCCGCATGTCGTCATTCCACCGCTGGCTGTCGAGGTGGTGTCCAGAAAACGATGTGGGCTTCATTGATAACTGGAAGCCTTTTTGGGGAAAACCTGGTCTGATTAGGAGAGACGGCATCCATCCCACTTTGGATGGAGCGGCTCTCTTATCTAGAAATATGGCGAAGTTTATTTCTAAAACCTGACAGTCCAGAGTTAGGACCAGGAAGCAGAGCTGCTGTCTTACACACTCCTCTGCGCTTTCTTTAGAACAGTCACCCACCCAAAACCCCATAGAGACTGTGTCTGTCCCCCGACCACCTAAACTATTTAAAGAAATAAAAACAAGAGGAGTTCAACATAAAAATCTAATAAAAATTAAAACCAACTCCTCAGTAGCACAAAATAAGAGAATGAAATGTGGGCTGTTAAATATCAGGTCTCTGTCCTCTAAAGCTGTTCTAGTGAATGAATTAATATCAGATTATGATATTGATTTACTTTGTCTTACTGAGACCTGGTTGTCCCACGAGGAGTATGTTAGCCTAAATGAATCCACACCCCCCAGTCATATTAATACTCACATTCCTCGAGGCACAGGCCGAGGAGGTGGAGTGGCAGCCATATATGATTTGAGCGTTTTAATGGACCCTAAACCTAAACTAAATTATAATTCATTTGAAAGCCTTGTTCTTAGTCTTTCTCACCCAAACTGGAAAACACTGCAGCCAGTTCTATTTGTTATAGTGTACCGTGCTCCTGGACCGTACTCTGATTTTATATCTGAATTCTCAGAGTTTCTATCAAGTTTAGTCCTTAAATCAGATGAAGTAATTATTGTAGGTGATTTTAATATTCATGTGGATGTTGAAAATGACAGTCTTAGTAATGCATTTATATCATTAATAGACTCAATTGGCTTCTGTCAGAGTGTAAATAAACCAACTCATTGTTTTAATCACACTCTTGACCTTGTTCTATCATATGGCATTGATATTGAACATTTAATAGTCTTCCCACATAATCCTTTCCTATCTGACCATTATTTAGTAACTTTTGAATTCATACTATTAGATTATAAGCCATTAGGCAAAACTTCCTACAGCAGATGTTTATCTGACAGTGCTGTAGCTAAATTTAAGGAGGAGATTCCTTCAGTGTTTAATTCAATGCCATGTCTGAATTTAACAGAGTCCTATAACAACTTTAGTCCCTCTGAAATTGATAATCTTGTCGATAGTGCTACAGGCTCACTACGATCAACATTAGACTCTATCGCTCCTATAAAAAGGAAATTATTAAAACATAGGAGACTAGCACCTTGGTATAACCACCAAACCCGCCAGTTAAAGCAAATAGCTAGGAAATCTGAAAGGAAATGGCGCTCTTCCAAATTATCAGAATATCGCTCAAATTGGCAAGATGATCTTAAGATTTATAGAAAGGCCCTCCGTAATGCCAGAGGAGCCTATTACTCAGCACTAATAGAAGAAAATAAGAACAACCCTAGGTTCCTCTTCAGCACTGTAGCCAGGCTGACAGAGAGTCACAGCTCTATCGAGCCACATATCCCCATAAACTTAAGTAGCAATGACTTCATGAGCTTCTTCTATAATAAAATTATTACTATTAGAGAAAAAATTAATCACCAACTGCCATCAACAGGTATCAGTGGCTCTCCAAGTTCAGGGACTTCTGTCAATGTAAACTTAGATGTATATTTAGACTGTTTTTCTGCTATCGATCTTCATCAGTTAACTTCAATCATTTCTTCATCGAAGCCATCAACCTGTCTGTTAGACCCGATCCCAACTAGGCTGCTTAAAGAAGTTGTTCCCTTAATTGGCACTTCTTTACTGGATATGATTAATCTTTCTTTATTATCAGGATATGTACCACAGTCCTTTAAAGTAGCTGTAATTAAACCCCTTCTTAAAAAGTCTACTCTTGACCCAGGGGTTTTAGCCAACTATAGACCGATTTCTAACCTCCCGTTCCTCTCTAAGATTCTGGAGAAAGTAGTCGCCAAAGAGTTGTGTGACTTTCTACATAACAATAGTTTATTTGAGGATTTTCAGTCAGGATTTAGAGTTCATCATAGCACAGAGACAGCTCTGGTTAAAGTTAATAATGACCTTCTGACTGCTTCTGACAATGGACTTGTCTCTGTACTTGTATTATTAGATCTTAGTGCTGCATTTGACACCATTGACCATGATATTCTTTTACAGAGACTTGAGCATCAAATTGGCATTAAAGGAACTGCCCTAACCTGGTTTAAGTCATACTTATCAGATCGTACTCAGTTTGTACATGTCAACGATGAATCCTCCATAAATACTAAAGTTAGTCATGGAGTTCCACAAGGTTCTGTACTTGGACCAATACTATTTACTTTATATATGCTCCCTTTAGGCAACATTATTAGGAATCACTCCATTAACTTTCACTGTTATGCAGATGATACGCAGTTATATCTATCAATCAAACCCAATGAAATTAATCAATTATCTAAATTACAAACATGTCTTAAGGACATAAAATCCTGGATGACCTGCAATTTTCTGATGTTAAACTCAGAAAAAACCGAAATTCTTGTTCTTGGCCCCAAAAACCTTAGAGACTCATTGTCTAAAGATATAGTCACTCTAGATGGCATTAACTTGGCCTCTAGCACCACTGTCAGGAATCTTGGAGTTCTCTTTGATCAGGATTTGTCATTTAACTCCCACATAAAGCAGACCTCTAGGACTGCCTTCTTTCATTTACGTAATATTAGAAAAATTAGACACATACTATCACAGATGCAGAAAAACTAATCCATGCATTTGTTACTTCAAGGCTGGATTACTGCAACTCTTTATTATCAGGTTGCCCCAATAAGTACATTAAAACGCTCCAATTAATTCAGAACGCTGCAGCACGAGTACTGACAGGAACTAGAAAAAGAGATCACATCTCTCCTGTACTAGCTACTCTGCATTGGCTCCCTATAAAATGTAGAATTGAATTTAAAATACTCCTCCTCACCTATAAAGCTCTTCATGGTCAGGCCCCTTCATATCTTAAAGAGCTCATAGTACCCTATTACCCCACTAGAACACTACGTTCTCTGAATGCTGGGCTACTTGTGGTTCCTATAGTCTCTAAAAGTAGAACAGGAGCCAGAGCCTTCAGTTACCAAGCTCCTCTCCTGTGGAACCGGCTTCCAGTTGTGGTTCGGGAGGCAGACACCCTCACCACTTTCAAGAGTAGGCTTAAGACATTCCTCTTTGATAAAGCTTATAGTTAGGGCTGGATCAGGTGAGTCCTGAACCATCCCTTAGTTATGCTGCTATAGGCCTAGACTATCGGGGATTTCCCATGGTGCACTGAGCTACTCTCTTCCTCTCTCTTTCTGCACTCATTCATGTCCCTTTAATGCATGTTACTAACTCCACTTCTTCCCCGGAGTTCTTGTGCTTTCTCGTCTCGCAGGTTCTCATGGATCCTGGTGGAGCCTCCTGCCATGGTCCTGCTTGACTGCCATTGCCAATACTGTTGTTGCTGTGCACCTGTCTGTCTGTCTGTCGCTCTCTCTCTCTCTCTCTCTCTCTCTCTCTCTCTCTCTCTCTCTCTCTCTCTCTCTCACCCCAACTGGTCGAGACAGACGACCACCCACCTAGAGCCGGAGGATCTGTCCTAGGTTTCTGCCTTTTAACAGGCAGTTTTTCCTTGCCCTTGTCGCCAAGTGCTTGCTCATGGTGGTACTGTTGGGTCTCTGTAATTAATGTTAAAGAGTTCGGTCTAGACCTGCTCTATTTGAAAAGTGTCCTGAGATAACTTCTGTTATGAATTGGCGCTATACAAATAAAATTGAATTGAAAATTGAATTGAATTCCACACAGCGGTCATTCTTACTGTCTGATTCCACACAGCGGTTATTCTTACTGTCTGATTCCACACAGCGGTCATTCTTACTGTCTGATTCCACACAGCGTTCATTCTTACTGTCTGATTCCACACAGCGTTCATTCTGTCTGATTCCACACAGCGGTCATTCTTACTGTCTGATTCCACACAGCGTTCATTCTGTCTGATTCCACACAGCGTTCATTCTGTCTGATTCCACACAGCGTCCATTTTTACTGTCTGATTCCACACAGCGTCCATTCTTACTGTCTGATTCCACACAGCGTTCATTCTTACTGTCTGATTCCACACAGCGTTCATTCTTACTGTCTGATTCCACACAGCGTTCATTCTGTCTGATTCCACACAGCGTTCATTCTTACTGTCTGATTCCACACAGCGTTCATTCTTACTGTCTGATTCCACACAGCGTTCATTCTTACTGTCTGATTCCACACAGCGGTCATTCTTACTGTCTGATTCCACACAGCGGTCATTCTTACTGTCTGATTCCACACAGCGTTCATTCTTACTGTCTGATTCCACACAGCGTTCATTCTTACTGTCTGATTCCACACAGCGTTCATTCTTACTGTCTGATTCCACACAGCGGTCATTCTTACTGTCTGATTCCACACAGCGTTCATTCTTACTGTCTGATTCCACACAGCGTTCATTCTTACTGTCTGATTCCACACAGCGGTCATTCTTACTGTCTGATTCCACACAGCGGTCATTCTGTCTGATTCCACACAGCGTTCATTCTGTCTGATTCCACACAGTGTTCATTCTTACTGTCTGATTCCACACAGCGGTCATTCTTACTGTCTGATTCCACACAGCGTTCATTCTGTCTGATTCCACACAGCGTTCATTCTCACTGTCTGATTCCACACAGCGTTCATTCTTACTGTCTGATTCCACACAGCGGTCATTCTTACTGTCTGATTCCACACAGCGGTTATTCTTACTGTCTGATTCCACACAGCGGTCATTCTTACTGTCTGATTCCACACAGCGTTCATTCTTACTGTCTGATTCCACACAGCGTTCATTCTGTCTGATTCCTCACAGCGTTCATTCTTACTGTCTGATTCCACACAGCGGTCATTCTGACTGTCTGATTCCACACAGTGTTCATTCTTACTGTCTGATTCCACACATTGTTCATTCTTACTGTCTGATTCCACACAGCGTTCATTCTTACTGTCTGATTCCACACAGCGTTCATTCTTACTGTCTGATTCCACACAGCGTTCATTCTTACTGTCTGATTCCACACAGCGTTCATTCTGTCTGATTCCACACAGCAGTCATTCTTACTGTCTGATTCCACACAGCGTTCATTCTTACTGTCTGATTCCACACAGCGGTCATTCTTACTGTCTGATTCCACACAGCGTTCATTCTGACTGTCTGATTCCACACAGCGTTCATTCTTACTGTCTGATTCCACACAGCGTTCATTCTGTCTGATTCCACACAGCGGTCATTCTTACTGTCTGATTCCACACAGCGTTCATTCTGACTGTCTGATTCCACACAGCGTTCATTCTGTCTGATTCCACACAGCGTTCATTCTGTCTGATTCCACACAGCGTCCATTCTTACTGTCTGATTCCACACAGCGTCCATTCTTACTGTCTGATTCCACACAGTGGTCATTCTTACTGTCTGATTCCACACAGCGTTCATTCTTACTGTCTGATTCCACACAGCGTCCATTCTTACTGTCTGATTCCACACAGCGTTCATTCTTACTGTCTGATTCCACACAGCGGTCATTCTTACTGTCTGATTCCACACAGCGGTCATTCTTACTGTCTGATTCCACACAGCGGTCATTCTTACTGTCTGATTCCACACAGCGTTCATTCTTACTGTCTGATTCCACACAGCGTCCATTCTTACTGTCTGATTCCACACAGCGTTCATTCTTACTGTCTGATTCCACACAGCGGTCATTCTTACTGTCTGATTCCACACAGCGTTCATTCTTACTGTCTGATTCCACACAGCGTTCATTCTTACTGTCTGATTCCACACAGCGTTCATTCTTACTGTCTGATTCCACACAGCGTTCAGTCTTACTGTCTGATTCCACAGCGTTCATTCTTACTGTCTGATTCCACACAGCGTTCATTCTTACTGTCTGATTCCACACAGCGTTCATTCTTACTGTCTGATTCCACAGCGGTCATTCTTACTGTCTGATTCCACACAGCGTTCATTCTTACTGTCTGATTCCACACAGCGGTCATTCTTACTGTCTGATTCCACACAGCGTTCATTCTGACTGTCTGATTCCACACAGCGTTCATTCTTACTGTCTGATTCCACAGCGGTCATTCTTACTGTCTGATTCCACACAGCGTTCATTCTTACTGTCTGATTCCACACAGCGGTCATTCTTACTGTCTGATTCCACACAGCGTTCATTCTGACTGTCTGATTCCACACAGCGTTCATTCTTACTGTCTGATTCCACACAGCGGTCATTCTGTCTGATTCCACACAGCGTTCATTCTGTCTGATTCCACACAGTGTTCATTCTTACTGTCTGATTCCACACAGCGGTCATTCTTACTGTCTGATTCCACACAGCGTTCATTCTGTCTGATTCCACACAGCGTTCATTCTCACTGTCTGATTCCACACAGCGTTCATTCTTACTGTCTGATTCCACACAGCGGTCATTCTTACTGTCTGATTCCACACAGCGGTCATTCTTACTGTCTGATTCCACACAGCGGTCATTCTTACTGTCTGATTCCACACAGCGTTCATTCTTACTGTCTGATTCCACACAGCGTTCATTCTGTCTGATTCCACACAGCGTTCATTCTTACTGTCTGATTCCACACAGTGGTCATTCTGTCTGATTCCACACAGCGTTCATTCTTACTGTCTGATTCCACACAGCGTTCATTCTGTCTGATTCCACACAGCGGTCATTCTTACTGTCTGATTCCACACAGCGTTCATTCTGACTGTCTGATTCCACACAGCGTTCATTCTGTCTGATTCCACACAGCGTTCATTCTGTCTGATTCCACACAGCGTCCATTCTTACTGTCTGATTCCACACAGCGTCCATTCTTACTGTCTGATTCCACACAGCGTTCATTCTTACTGTCTGATTCCACACAGCGTTCATTCTTACTGTCTGATTCCACACAGCGTTCATTCTTACTGTCTGATTCCACACAGCGTTCATTCTTACTGTCTGATTCCACACAGCGTTCATTCTTACTGTCTGATTCCACACAGCGTTCATTCTTTCTGTCTGATTCCACACAGCGTTCATTCTTACTGTCTGATTCCACACAGCGTTCATTCTTACTGTCTGATTCCACACAGCGTTCATTCTTACTGTCTGATTCCACACAGCGTTCATTCTTACTGTCTGATTCCACACAGTGTTCATTCTTTCTGTCTGATTCCACACAGCGGTCATTCTTACTGTCTGATTCCACACAGCGTTCATTCTTACTGTCTGATTCCACACAGCGTTCATTCTGTCTGATTCCACACAGCGTTCATTCTTACTGTCTGATTCCACACAGCGTTCATTCTGTCTGTCTGATTCCACACAGCGTTCATTCTTACTGTCTGATTCCACACAGCGTTCATTCTTACTGTCTGATTCCACACAGCGTTCATTCTTACTGTCTGATTCCACACAGCGTTCATTCTGTCTGTCTGATTCCACACAGCGTTCATTCTTACTGTCTGATTCCACACAGCGTTCATTCTTACTGTCTGATTCCACACAGCGTTCATTCTGTCTGTCTGATTCCACACAGCGTTCATTCTTACTGTCTGATTCCACACAGCGTTCATTCTTACTGTCTGATTCCACACAGCGTTCATTCTGTCTGATTCCACACAGCGTTCATTCTTACTGTCTGATTCCACACAGCGTTCATTCTGTCTGTCTGATTCCACACAGCGTTCATTCTTACTGTCTGATTCCACACAGCGTTCATTCTTACTGTCTGATTCCACACAGCGTTCATTCTTACTGTCTGATTCCACACAGCGTTCATTCTGTCTGTCTGATTCCACACAGCGTTCATTCTTACTGTCTGATTCCACACAGCGGTCATTCTTACTGTCTGATTCCACACAGCGTTCATTCTTACTGTCTGATTCCACACAGTGTTCATTCTGTCTGATTCCACACAGCGTTCATTCTGTCTGATTCCACACAGCGTTCATTCTTACGTCCTCATTAACGTTTGCTCTCACAAACATTTAAAACTCCACTAACAGTTCAATTCCAATCAGAGTCGAACTTTTAGCTGCAGGACTGAAGAACATCTGTGTAAAGATTCTGAGCTCAGTTTTGGTCTCCTCCAATAAGAAACTGTACTTTTTCTTTTATTTGTGGCAGCTATTGCATGACCTTTGACCTTAAACAACAATACAACTTCACCCCTCCTTACTTATATATCTCATTATATATTAAACACTATGTGGTCTCACTACCCATAAATAAACAGAGGGAAGAGTCAAAGTACAATGTACAAACTGTTTGTGTTATAAATCCACTGTGGCCTCAATATGTTTGATATTGACTTCATATTGGAAACCCATTTAGACTGGTTCCCAGTTCAACCAGTGACAGTGAGAGAATGTGTAAGCTGTCTGTCTGTGTGTGTGTCTCCAGTCCAGAGGTTTGTCTCCTCACTGGGTTTTCAGTACCAGAGGAGATTATAGCCAAGCAGCCGCAGAGAGCACTGCATCATGGGAGTACTGACACTGCTACAGCACTGCATCATGGGAGTACTGACACTGCTTCTACAGAGTTTAATAATAACAATCACTTCCTGTCTGTGGTCCAGGTGGAATACTACTTCCTGTCTCAGTATGTGTCGGTGGTCACGTGATCCACGGCCGCGGCGACCACACTCTGAGCGCGCTCACTGAGCACCTGACCCTGCTGACCTCTGACCCCGAACGCTTCGACGAGAAATGCTTCAGACGACTGCTTGCCTTTTTTACCTGGACGCTGCAGGGCGCCGCCAACGCCCTGAACGGAGACGTGTGGAGCATACACAATACACACAATACACACAATACACACAGTACACACAATACACACAATACACACACTGACACACACAATACACACAATACACACTACACACAATACACACACTGATATACACTGATACACTGATACACACAATACACACAATACACACAATACACAATACACACAATACACACAATACACACACTGATACACACTGACACACACACTGATACACACACACACACACACACAGTGTGGAGCTCTCACACAGACTTTTATTGTGGAGGGTGTTTCCTCTGCAGCAGTCTGATCAATATGTGTATCAATCATTGATTATCAGTGTCAGTAATAGTTCATAAACTGGGAACTGTTTTTATCTTTTATGGTTCAATGACACAGTTACAGTAACTCCGCCCCCTAGAGCTGTAACAGGATCAATACGTACTGGCTGCTCGCATCACTGGTTCTCTACTGGTGGTTCTCCTCTGGTTCTCTGCTGCTGGTTCTCTACTGCTGGTTCTCTACTGGTTCTCTGCTGCTGGTTCTCTACTGCTGGTTCTCTACTGGTTCTCTGCTGGTTCTCCTCTGGTTCTCTACTGGTTCTCTGCTGGTTCTCTACTGGTTTTCTGCTGGTTCTCCTCTGGTTCTCTGCTGGTTCTCCTTTGGTTCTCCTCTGGTTCTCTGCTGGTTCTCTGCTGGTTCTCCTCTGGTTCTCCTCTGGTTCTCTGCTGGTTCTCTGCTGGTTCTCCTCTGGTTCTCTGCTGGTTCTCTGCTGGTTCTCCTCTGGTTCTCCAGTTATTACAACTGTTTCTTTACTGCGTTTGTTATTAGCCGCAGCCTTCGCTAGCTAAAGTATGACGTCAACATCCAACACCCAAAACCCCATAGAGACTGTGTCTGTCCCCCGACCACCTAAATTATTTAAAGAAATAAAAACAAGAGGAGTTCAACATAAAAACCTAATAAAAATTAAAACTAACTCCTCAGTAGCACAAAATAAGAGAATGAAATGTGGGCTGTTAAATATCAGGTCTCTGTCCTCTAAAGCTGTTTCAGTTAATGAATTAATATCAGATTATGATATTGATTTACTTTGTCTTACTGAGACCTGGTTGTCCCACGAGGAGTATGTTAGCCTAAATGAATCCCCCCCCAGTCATATTAATACTCACATTCCTCGAGGCACTGGCCGAGGAGGTGGAGTGGCAGCCATATATGATTCGAGCGTTTTAATGGACCCTAAACCAAAACTAAATTATAATTCATTTGAAAGTCTTGTTCTTAGTCTTTCTCACCCAAACTGGAAAACACTGCAGCCAGTTCTATTTGTTATAGTGTACCGCGCTCCTGGACCGTACTCTGATTTTATATCTGAATTCTCAGAGTTTCTATCAAGTTTAGTCCTTAAATCAGATAAAGTAATTATTGTAGGTGATTTTAATATTCATGTGGATGTTGACAATGACAGCCTTAGTAATGCATTTATATCATTAATAGACTCAATTGGCTTCTGTCAGAGTGTAAATAAACCAACTCATTGTTTTAATCACACTCTTGACCTTGTTCTATCATATGGCATTGATATTGAACATTTAATAGTCTTCCCACATAATCCTTTCCTATCTGACCATTATTTAATAACTTTTGAATTCATACTATTAGATTATAAGCCATTAGGCAAAACTTCCTACAGCAGATGTCTATCTGACAGTGCTGTAGCTAAATTTAAGGAGGAGATTCCTTCAGTGTTTAATTCAATGCCATGTCTGAATTTAACAGAGTCCTATAACGACTTTAGTCCCTCTGAAATTGATAATCTTGTCGATAGTGCTACAGGCTCACTACGATCAACATCAGACTCTATCGCTCCTATAAAAGGAAATTATTAAAACATAGGAGACTAGCACCTTGGTATAACCACCAAACCCGCCAGTTAAAACAAATAGCTAGGAAATCTGAAAGGAAATGGCGCTCTTCCAAATTATCAGAATATCGCTCAATTTGGCAAGATAATCTTAAAATTTATAGAAAGGCCCTCCTTTGTGCCCCGATGCCCCTCCCCCAAACCAGTTTCTCTCCAACCTGGTGGTCTATTGCTGCTTTCCATTTGTCTCGTGAACTCAGAACCCGAGTTGTTCTGCCGCGAGAATGTGACGTCATTGTCTGGCTTGTACCACTTCTAGCGTTCCAGTTTGTCTTTGGGCATTACGAGTCGGAAAGAAGTGCAGCAGCTGTGTTGTTATTGATTGTGGATCTTCTAAACAAGCTCAATGTGAAATAATAATGTTTTTCTACAGAAACACTAACATTTCAAGTAATTCCGTTATTGCAAGTCTTACATTTCAATATTATTTTGCCATTTTCGCCTATTTCAATTTCAACAAGTGCTGTGGCGTTTGTCTCGAGCCACCAGGAGCCTCCAGGGGCCACCAGGGGCCACCAGGAGCCACCAGGGGCCACCAGGGGCGGGCTAGTGTTATTGTTAGCTACATTAGCCTATTTAGCAAACCAGCTCGAAAACAAAACTTTACATTGTATTGAACTCACAGCAACACCGTGCAATGCATAAATTGGTGACCGGACTAAAGCAGCAATGTAAACAGTGTAAAAACATTTAAAATTGACATTAAAACGACCAACGTAGTACAAATACAAAGAAAATACATCTTAATATGGGCGCTGCCATCTTTGTTTTGCGGGTTGTACGTGCCCCCCCGTTTAGCTTGGGGTACCCTGAGGAACCCCGAGCTAAACGGCTGAAATTCCGACCAAAAAGGGGTGTGTCTCTGTGAAATCTCGCGAGATAGCTGCAAGATTTACACTTTCCAACTCGGGTTCCGAGTTCACGAGACAAATGGAAAGCAGCATTAAACTCAATCAGGATTTGGTCACAATTTAGAAGACACCTCAAACTGCAGACAACATCTATTCACTCTCCCATCAAGAATAATTATAACTTCCTCTCTCTCTGACTCAACCTTTAGGATTGGCACTCAAAGGGCATTAAATCCATCTCCAATCTATATGTGGATGGCAAACTTGGATCATTTGCACAACTCTCCGAATTATTTAATTTACCAAAGTGTCACTTTTTTAGGTGTCCCCAGCTTAGGCACTTAAACTGGTACATTCTTCTCCCCTTGTGCTCGACACAGCTTAATACAACTCCCTGATGTGAATCCTTCATGTGCTCGCTGTAAAGGCCAACCAGATCAAATCAGATAGACCCTCAAAGGCTCCCTGCAAACCTTTAGGGAGATATGGATCCTTTCCTAGAGTATTATGAGGATTTACCAATACCATTAAATGAAATACCAATATCAGCATAAATATAAAATTAATGGTAATTATGCTGTACAGATGAATTAGTGAGGGCAATAGTATGTTATCCTCTTTATTTTCTATGTTTCTGAAATTTTCAGATTTTTTCAGATTTTTTCTCATACTTTCTGATCTTTTCTTTTTATGATTAACATTTTTTATTTTATTATTTCAACAACACAATAATAACAGTAACCCCCCCCCCATTACTCCATCAATGTAAACAACACAGTTCATTTTCAAAAAGTTAACTTTACCTGCCATAGACAAATTAAGAGTTGCCCATCTCTCAACATCACAAGAAATGTATCGTATTAATGGATCAAAATTAACTTTGATCAGATCTTTCAGCTGTCTAGGAAATGGGATACCCAGATACATGATACCTTGCTGAGGCCACTGAAATACACCTGGGTGGAAGGCAGTGGAGGGGCAATAAGCTGTTAAAGGGAGTGCCTCGGACTTGGACCAGTTCAGCCTGTAGCCAGAGTATTTGGAAAATGAGTTTATGATACTAAGAAGACATGGTATAGATCTGCTGGGGTTGGACACCAGTAATAAAATGTCATCGGCGTAAAACATCAATTTATGTGCCATCCCACCTACAGTGACACCCGGGAAGTCAGTAGCCCCACGTATAGCTGCTGCAAGAGGCTCAATTGCTAAACAGAAGAGCAAAGGAGACAGGGGCGAACCCTGCCTGGTTCCTCTGCCCAACATAAAATACTCCGAGACCAGCCCATTAGTCTGCACTGCTGCTTCTGGGTCCTTATATAATACATGAATCCATTTTATAAAGGCAATACCAAATCCAAACTCCTCTAAAATTTTGAATAGATACCCCCATTCCACCATGTCAAACGCCTTTTCGGCGTCCAGAGAGATTGCTGCTACTGTCGACTGGGCGTCAGACACCGACCACATGACATCAACAAGGCGTCTAATATTATCTGAGGAGCTACGACCACGAATGAATCCCACTTGATCAGTATGGATCAATGACTTAATTACACTGTCTAATCGGTTTGCTAAAATTTTTGAAATTATCTTAACATCTATTTGCATTAATGAAATAGGACGGTAATTCTTGCACTCATCCAAATCTTTACCTTTCTTAGGAACTAGACTAATAAGGGCCTGTCTCAGAGTTGGTGGTAGTATACCCCTCTCCAGCGCTTCCTTATACACCTCCAGTAAAGGAAGCTAGCTCTGTCGCAAAGCTCTTAAAAAATTCCCCAGTAAAGCCGTCGGGCCCCGGTGCTTTACTTGAAGGTGAAGCCTTGATTACCCCTTTAATCTCCTCAACAGTAATATCTAAGTCTAGAGAATCCCTCTGTTCATCTGTCAATTTTGGAAGTCCTAGTGGTTCTATAAACTTATGAATGTCTTCTTCACTAGAGGTAGATGTCAAACTATAGAGATTACTATAAAATTCTTTAAAGGCCTGATTAATATCTACAGTTGCAGTAAGCAGGCCCCCGACCGGCGACTTAACAGCAGGAATAGTTGAGGCCAACTCCCTCTGTTTTATATAACTGGCAAGCAACTTTCCTGCTTTGTCTCCTGACTCAAAATATGTTTGTCTAGCCCTAAATAAATTAAATTCAACCTTTTGGGTTATTATATTATTATACTGATATTTTAACTTGTCAGTTTTCTCATGCCGTCCTGTGTCACTTGTTGCTTCAACTCTGTTTCAGCCCGTTTAATTATATTTTCCAATTCTAGCACCTCCCATGTTTTACTTTTCTTATGGTATGATGTGTGTGTGATAATACGTCCCCTAATCACAGCCTTTAGGGCCTCCCACGCGACACCCGCGGATGATACAGAATGCCAATTGATCTCCAAATAATTATGTAGTTCTGTCCTGAGCCACTCTACATTTACAGGGTCCTGCAGAAGTGACGAGTTCAGACGCCATCTGTAGGACTTTCTTCTCTCGCTCTGGGGTAATAGGTCCAAGCCAACCCAAGCATGGTCGGAAATAAGAATATTCCCTATTTCACAGTCCATAGCAGAGGAGGAGTGTTTTGGATATTAGAAAAAAATCTATTCGGCTGTAGGTCTTACTGGTGAAAAAAAATGTGTAATCCCTACCAGAGGGGTTCATAATCCTCCAAATATCTATCAATCCCAAAGATGTGCAAGTTCTCTGCAATGTCATAGAAGCCTTTGGGACTTGATGCAACCCTGCCCCACTGTGGTCAAGAACTGGATCCATTAGAAGGTTAAAATCTCCTCCCAGAACAACAGCGTGGTCCCCAGCAGTTTGTAACTTCATTTCAAGACGAATAAAAAAAATTGTATCATCCAGATTAGGTGCGTATATGTTGGCCAAGATTGGCCTTCCCAAATGATCCTTAATTTGCTTTAGACATTTAAACTGTAAATGTTTACTAACTAAAATTATAACGCCCTTGCTCTTGCCAGAACCTATGCTGTAAAAAACATGTCCAACCCCTCCCGCACAGAGCTTCTCAGACTCCTCCTTTTCCTGGAGAAACACCACGTCATAGTTCTTGTTCTTGAGCATGGTCATGACCTTTTTTCTCTTGACAGGGTTCCCCAGTCCATTTACATTCCAAGTGGAGAGACGCATTAAACCTATTTGTGAAGACATGCCTGCTTACTTAATAACACACAACCATTTATCAAAGGCAGTACCGTTACACAGTGGTGGCGACTAAACACAAACATCCCCATAAAGCTAACAAAGTAAAAGAGTGTGCAACTAAACCAGAACTTTGCACATTTAAACCCCCACAGAAGTCCCTCCCTGAATTTGTCGCGCTTCATCTGAGTGGCTCTGGAGAAGTCAGGGAAAAGCATAATATAAGTGTTGTCCCAGCTCAGCTTGCCTTTATTCCTCGCTGCTCGCAACACCGCATCCCGGTCTGACGATCTCAGAAACCTGGCCAGTATTGGTCTGGGTCTGTCTCCGGGTGAGGGTCGCCCGTTCAATCTCTCGTCTCCCCTCTATGTTCAGCAAATTTGGCAACAGCTCCTCCAAAAATCTCACCTCGTCTCCTCCCTCTTTGCCCTCCAGAAAGCCGACGAAGCGCACATTGTTGCGTCTGGAGTGATTCTCCATGTCTTCTAATTTGTCCCATATCTGTCCGACGTCTGTTTTGCTAGCTGGCGGGTTAGCTTGCCACTCCTGCTCGGCTCTTTCCAAGTACTCGACTCGGTCCACTTCATCCATTCTTGTAATTGGGGCTGAGAGTTTAGTCTCTACCGACGTGTTGGTACGACATATCTCTGCCAGCCCCCCCAAGGTCTTCAGAAATCTTTGTTAGTGCTGAGTAAATGTTACTGATATCTTCAGCTATGTCGTTAGCTTGTTGCTGCTCGGGCTCGTCAGCGTCATCTTGACCTTGCATCGTGGCGTCGGCCCCTTGTGACCGTAAATGTTGTTTAATATCTCCACAGGCCGCAGACTTCCAAAGTTTCAACATTTCTGCCACCTGTTTAATTCAATGCTCTGGTGTAAATGTTTAAAATGATGAAGGCAGCAATGTAGTGCGGAGCGCTCTACTCTGTGGCTTCTTCTCACATCGCGTCACGTGACTCACTTTCTGATCTTTTCTGAAATTCTCTGAATTTCTTTAATATTTCCTGATCATTTCTGATATTTTAAAATATTTTCTGATATTTTTTTATATTTCTTTATATTTTCTGAAATTGTTTTAACTTTTCCTATATTTTCTGATGTTTCCTGATATTTTAATGATATTTTTTGTATATCTTCTGATATTTCTTGATATTTGAAAATATTTTAATATTTTTGTATATTTTCTGATCTGAAGTTATAATGACTTTCAGTCTTCAGTGCTGATAGAAAGAACATTAGTATTATTTTAAAGTGAATTAGTGATGAGTCTCTCTCACAAACTGCACATCCACAGTAAGTTTACAATACAAACATAGAAATATGGCAAAAAATATAATATTACAACAATTATAACAAATTTAACTGACCTCTGTCTCACTAGAACAAGTTACCTTCAATAATTAATGAATTATTTGACTTTCTGCTGAAAATCATTTATTATTATTAACTTTATAATATTCCTGTTTTATAAGCTTCGGTAATCAGAGGATGTCCAATAATATTATCTTCACTATATTATAATATAACAACCACAGACTTTATAATAAATAGGTTAACACAGGTTTAAAGAACTCGTCCTGCTTTGAGCCTCTGCGGACACCGTAGTTGAACATGAAGTAGTGTTTGAGGCTTTTAGCGGGAACAGGTCGGTTGTTTAGTCTGAACAACGACACGTTTCATATTGAATAAGTAATAAAGAGCAGCCGTCCGGACTGTGGACATGGAGCTCCTGCAGCGGGTCCTGGATCAGTTCACACCCAGCGGGGAAGCCGTGAGTTTCCGTTGGTAGCCTCCACAGCCGACACCGCTCTTGGAAATGTGTCAATTTAATAAAGTTTAGCTCCTGAGCGGCGACAGACTCATTAAATAATAACAACAATTATTATTCTACAGTTAGTCATGTGTCCTGTTAACATCGGCTCGTATATGAGCAACTGAATATTAAACACTACGGAGTTATAAGGATATTAAGCTGCGGTCACACAGTAGATAAACGCTGGGAACTCGTCGGTTAATAAGTGTACTTACGATAGTTTTTATTGATCTTTGTGTTGTTCAATAGTTGTCTGCTGCATTCGGCTCATTGATTATAACTAACCAGCTCTTTATTTTACTGTAGATCAGTCACATATCGATCCTGTAGCTGATTGTAGTTCTATGTTCGTCCTGCAGGAGGCGCTCTGGTTAAAGGACATTTTCACCTTCATCACTGAACACATACAACCTGTGCTCTCTGGCCCCGCCCCCCGGCTGCTGACGATGTCATCACAGGTGAGTGAGCCAATCAGCTTCCTGCTGTGAGGAATTTAATGAATAAATAATAATAACTGCAGATATTCATTCACTATATTTAATAACTGACTCAACTGATATTTTAAATTAAAGCAGATAACAGCACATTCAGTATTAATAAAGTATTAATAAGTGTCTGAATACAAGTTACCACAAATCAAAACAAAGCTTAACAACAACTTTATTAATTA